CATAGAGCTGTCAGACGTGATCTCCATTGAAACAAGCGGAGGGCGGACAGGGCCCGAAGCGACGAGATCCAGATTCGTCTCCCACCAGAGAAGATCGGCCCTGGTGTCCGACGGCAACTGGAGCCGTGAGTCCAGATTATGCGTGCGTCGTGTGGTGCTCGACACCAGCTTGGCGAGAGAGGCGCAATGATATCGAATCGAGCGGACGATAGTGGTCAAGGCGTTTAGCTTGCCCAGTGTGCGATAGAGAGAGCGGAGCGTCAGCTGCGGAGCGTTGAGGAGGGACCGAATATCCGCCTTTATTTGGAGGCGTTTTTCCAGCGGGACCGAAAGCCGCATGGTTGAAGCGTCCAACACATAGCCAAGGTAAGTTACGGATTGAGCAGGCTCCAGAGCGGACTTCTCGAAGTTAACTGTATAGCCCAGGGATTGTAGCAGCGAGGTTGTTCGATGCACATGGGTAGCGAGCCGGGCGGGCGAGTCGGCGATAAGCAAGAAATCGTCAAGATAAACGATAATCGAGATGCCTTCCTGCCGCAAGCGGGCTGCGACAGGTTTGAGATGTTTCGTGAACACCCGCGGGCTGGTCTTGAGTCCAAACGGCAACCGCGACCAGCAATATGCCTCCTCGCGCCACAAGAAGCAGAGGAACGGTTGAGAGGATTCGTCGATCGGTATAGAGAGGAACGCATCCTGAAGGTCAATTCGAGCGAAGTAACAGCTCGCGAAAACCGCTTCCCGGATTTCCGCCCAACCCTCCATTTTGAATTTGTTATCGGGAATGTATTCGTTGAGGGGCTTCAAGTTGATAACCGGCCGAAACTTGGCCGTCCCCTTTTTAGCAACCAGAAAAAGGTTCGAAACAAAACGGACGTGCGGTCGAAGTATGCGCCAGCAATGCGGCAACGAGGCCGTCCATAATTACTAATTCTTCAGCGGTGAAACGGATCGGATGTGGGAGGGTGGTTTGGCGGGGAGTATGGAGGAATTGCACGCGGTAACCGCGAACTGCGCTGAGAATCCACGCATCGGAGGTGAGGTCGTCCCAGGCGAACGCGTATTCCATAAGTGATGTGAACCCGGTACCTGAGGTTGAAGCTTGCGTCGCGCTGCCGCTGTTGGTGGAGGCGGTAGCGTTCCGAGACGCATTGGTCGTCGACGTCGATGTATTCTGGCGCGAGTTGTTCTGATTCCAGTCGTGTCCGTTCCGGTGCGGCTGACGCCACGCGGTGCGACGGTTTCCTCGATCCTGTCCTTGTCCCTGGCGGGGGTACGGCCGGTACCGAGTGGAAGTGGGAGGCTCGTCGCCGAGTAGCACCTTCTTGTCTTTCCGGAGCCGTTCCACGTTCTTAGCGAAGGAGGCTCCAAGCAACGCCACGACACGTTCTGTCTTAGCTGCAGAAACTCTCGTTGAGCTTCGTGCTGACGATCAGTGTTTTGGCCATGTCTGAAAGGCGCTCAGCCAGGACTTTGGGGTCGAGTGGGGCGCGAGTCTCAGCGAGGTAAGACATGGCATCGGTCCGTGGCCTGGCCAGCAGCGTCTGGTTCTCGGCGAGTTTTACCAAGAATGAGTCCGCCTTCGAGGCGTACGAAGACTTGCTCGTTTTCAAGTGGGCCTCGGCATCGCCGAGTGGCTCTGGAGACAATCGCGTGGCATCAAGCTAGAGTCGCTTGGCATCCAGTTCCAACAGGAGAAAGGGCATCGAGTAGGCGAAGCTAGTCGGATATCCGTGTGAAACCACGGGTTAACGCGCGGAGCGCGAGGACGTGCGCGGAGCACGAGGCGCTGGACCGGCCGGAGCCGGTTCCAGGCCAATTGAAGTTGAATAGTCAGCGTTTGCTGTCGACATGCCTGAAATCGGAAGGGGCAACGACTTACCAGCTACGATGAGTGAAGTACACCAGAAAATGTTCGAGTTCCGCGCGAGAACACGTAATACTGAGTCGAGCGGAAAACAACATTGTATGTATTCCTTATGCTGATCGATTCGAAAGAATTCAATTGTTCCCTCCCAACTTAGATCTGGCCCATCGGAGACGAGGGCCGGAACGAAAATACGAATGTCTTTCGTGTCGCATGGACAACCACTGCGAGCTTTATCGGAATAAAGATTTACTGGCAAGAGTTCTTGCAGATTCCCGGATTCGAAGACCGGATGCCGAACTTCGACAAAGAGATGTTGAGCGTTTGTTCCGTGCCCTACGCGGAGGACCATCATCTATTCGGAACCAAGATGGATTCCGAAGTTGAGAGCCTCCGACTCGGTTTGCGACTCCGGGGAAAATCCAAGGAAGTCGGTGATGGGATCCAGGCTCTGAGCGGTGCTGAAATCGAAGCACATCTGAAGGGCAAAGCGCTGAGAGTCTGCGGCGAGGAGCTGCTGGCCGGAGACGTCCAGATCCGAGTTCAGTATTCCGGGGAGAATCTAGTCAAGTACGCAGCTCACTCGGAGAGCGATGATCCGCAAGCTGACGAAGGAATGTTGAACGAAGTAATCGCAAGGGAGACCTTGAATCGCATCCAGAAGATGCGTAAGAGAGCGCATTTGGTACCCTTCGATCCCCTAGCTGTTTTCGTGACTGCGAAACCCGAGAGTGGTGATACCGCGAGAATGCTCAAGTCTCAGTACGATTTCATGAAGAAACTTTTGCGGAGTCCGCTCGCCGACGGTCCTGCTGGCACAGCTCTGGAACTCATAGAAAGGGGAACGGAGATCATCGAAGACAGTGAGCTGACAGCTAAGAGGAGAGAAGCTGCGTCACCCAGCCCTAATCTCTCAGGCAGCAAACCCGACATCATCGATGGTATTCCCGTTAGATACGCCAACGCCAAGCTCAAGGGGTAGAAAGCCACGGTCTTGCTAGAAAACCCGGCGTCCAACTCCGTCGACACCAAGTGGCTCACCAAGTTATTCTTTGGCTCAGAGCTATCAGAACTAAGTCGGACGACTGAGGAACCATGGTGCCTCCATGTGAACGTTCATGTTGGAGGCAGGAAGGGCGTCCTGTTCCTTGAGAATCCGATTGGTGAGCGAAGTCTGGCTTATAAAGATCTTCCGGATGCTATTCGGACAGTCTTCGAAATTTCGATTTTCAGATGGATCGAAATATTTGTGGATGACGCATCAACGCGCCCCTTCCTGGCGGAGCATCTCATGAGTGGTCGCGACATCCATCTAAAGGTCATTTATAAATGAAAGAAATGAATTCAATTTGCGGGAGATCGCTTGACTATCCCCTCCGAGAATAAACGGCTTGGTTGTTGATTTCGAAAGAAAGGACTAGCATTATCAATTATTTCCCTCCATGTTCTTTCTCCTGAAGCTCGTATAAATATCAGATATTAGCATTCCGCGCGACTCTCGCCATATAATCTTCCCACTCGTGGCCGAAAATTTCACCACGCGTACGATGATGTCTTGAGCAGCTTCAAGACTACAAAACCTCAGGCTACGAGCTCTTCCCCTCAGCGCATCAGCGCGAATCGATTTTGCCTCTTCGAAGCGACCGGGTGTCTTGAGGGGGTTTTCCGGAAACTCTATCAACCAGTGCTTACGACTCGTGCTCGACTGGCACGCGCGAGATCGAGGTGTACTCCTTCGCGGCGTCAGATTTCATTACACGAAGTCGGATGAACGATATTCTCGCGCGTTATTTCCCAACGAGGAGTTGAGAAACCGGGCGTACGAGGGCCCCTCATGTCGATCCCGGAAACCCCAGACAGCTCCCTGAATACTCTTCATTTAGGGAACGTCCCCGAATCGTGCACTTCTCGAGCTGTCGACGGTGGCCCGATTTCTGAGACCTCATCATTTGCCCTCATTCTCCTCTGGGTAGATCATCTTGTAAATTGGGGCGGTGCGGTGGTTGAGCCGTTCGAGTCGATCGCCTGTCCTTCACAGACCTGTCCTTTGCTCTTTTCGCAGGCGCAACTTCCTGAACGGCATTACCTAATTAAATATTCCCTCCAAACAAGGAAGACGAGCTGCGTCGTGAAAATATCACGTCGGTAGTTATCCAATTTCCTTCCGCGTTGTCTGGAGCCGCGCATGGCCTTCCTCGATTTCCAGCGACCGAACCGAACCCGTATAGTGGAAGCATCACCAAGGATTACGTTGGAAATGGGGCAGAATGCGACAGGAATTGATAATTCATTTGGAAAATGTGATAATTTCGACCGAAATAACTTTGTTTTGGAGTTTGGGGATTTGACACGTGATTCAGTCGAATTCGATGTTACGCTGGAGGGTCCCACTCGACCGATTTGGCGCCCATGGACAGTGACGGGCCGTGGAAGGGGCGAGGGGGTCACGGAATGGGCGCTCAATTCCCTCTCTCCCCTGTAAGGAACTGGAAAGCGTACGTGGAAAATTCATCAGGTGTAACTAAACTTGCTGGAACTCGAATTGGAGCGAAAAGATTCAGACAGAAAGTTCGAGATTGAGACACGTTCGAAACTCGTTGAATCTGAGCTTGAATCCGCCAAAGGGAAGATCTATGATCTTCACGTCGTGATCAGTGTATATCAGTGATGCCCTGACCGGCTTCGGCTGGTGATTCAATTAAGAAATCTCATTACTCTCTCAAGTGGAAACGTGATCAGTCGTCTCTAACAGGGTCCAACATCGAAAGAACTGAAAACCGAGCGAGACAAACTACCTGAGACTTACTCCCAACTCTCGTCGTGCCAGCAGCTTGTCGGGGCAATAATTGTGGTAACTCTACCCTATGCTGCACAAATACACTTCATACACATCATCGTTCGTAGTGGAACAGAGAAGCCTTCGGACAAAGAAGGTACCTTCTGAAATGAAAAAGAAGCTCGGTGGCTGCTTTCATTTTTACACATTCGTTTTGAAGCCAGATACTGCTTCCATACCCAGGAGAAATTCTGGTGGTAAACCGTGATGAAACGATGGCTGGCCATTTCTCGGTGACTCTGACACCGCAGGTGAAAAATTTCACTCATCAAGAGCCAGGCGATTATAGATCGGTAATCGAAACAAGAGCTTTATTCTCGTTGACAAATCCAATCGGTCCCAGATTGCAGGATCACGGCGTACCGCTATAGCTGGAAGCCAATTCCGATTTCTTAGAAAAGTCTTTTGCAGAGCTTCTTAGAGAGATAAAGTAAGGGGGGGTATGCGGTACTTAAGAGAGGTGAAGCTCTCATGAAATCCGCATGAAGCGGATATGAAATCGTGCTCCCGTCAACGCGCAGTCAAGAGCAGCCTGTCCCTCACGCAGAACTTAAACTTCTCGCTCAATGATTGACTGACAAAAAAAAGTGTGATACTTCGCATATCCCCCCCGTTGGGAAACGCTGTTTCGTCTCTCAATGTTTGCATGTGAACTTACCCAGAGCTCGGTCGCGGCACAGATCCTCCATAGTGCCGTGAAGGAAGATCAGACTGAATGGGCCCCGCCTGCCGTTCACTGAGAAAGTAAATTTCGTGGAAATTGGAAGGAATAGAATTCGTGGAAACTTGCGGGAGCTCGGAAAGATTGATATTGTACCATCGATCCCACCATAATCCACTCACACGTATAGCGAGCTTCGTCAATGGCGCGCGTCAGTGATGCCTCAGTATGTCTTCGATCTTCGCTTGTACTACAACCCCTAAGAGCTGTTCCACGAAACATCTGCGGACGGGTGTCTAGAGAGAAAAGAGAAAAATTAGAAGCGCAAATCCTAGATAATTTTCATCCTACTTCTTGAGATGGTATATGAAATGGTTACTGCAGGCGCGTATCCAGGCGGAATATCAGGGGCCAATTCTTCTTGTGGTTAGACTATTCGCGAGTTCCCCTTCGTCATCAGGTACAGGCATCGATTGGAACGCACGGCATCGTGATGATGCACCTGTAACCGCTGACCCGCCGTGGATTGCGTTGGAAGTATTGCCTGAACTTCTTCGAGACTCTCAAAAGGATTCCCGAAGCTTGAAGCCATCGACTCTGAGGGTACAGCACTGGTATTCTACATGTTTTTGTCTGTCGCGCCTCAAGAATTGTTCTCCGAGAATCCTTCCAGATGTCTCTCAAGTCTGAGAGGGATGTCGGAGCCGGAGAACAACGGAATTCGCAACGTTCGATATACCATGATTGGAGATCTCTTTCAGACACCATTAGGGAGTGCGAAATCTCAGAGTGAGTTTATTCCAGAACTAGGGTATTGTATCTAGAATGCCTGACATTCACATGAACAACTGAGGTATCTTATAGCTTCGAACTCACTGGGAAGGTGACCTAAGTCCTCTCGATCTGGGTGCTCCCAAAAAGCGAATTCTACAAAACCACCTGACCCGCTTGTCACTGGAAAAACAAGATGTTTAGAGAGGGCTGCCTCGTTCTCACTTCACCGGAAGGGACGCTGGAGAGACGAATCTCATCGGCTATCGAGATAAATATCAAAGGCGACAGGCGACGTACGCAGCTTTGTTTTCTGTATTTCGAGATATCCAATAAGGCGCTCAGGATCCATAAACAAACATTTTCGTTGGTAGCGCAATTGCTGTGGCTCGCACCCAGAGGGGAAAGCTTCTTCAAGTCTAGAGCACATGATGAGCGGAAACGAAATAGATCGCCTGGATCAGTGCTCAACGAGCTTGATTCGAGGTCCGCATTAGGATGCCACACCAGAGACCAGAGTGTTTGCGACACACACGAACACACACACGATTATTTACGAGCATCCAGAGGGGAAAGCTTCTTCAAGTCTAGAGCACATGATGAGCGGAAACGAAATTGATCGCGTGGATCAGTGCTCAACAAGCTTGATTCGAGGTCCGCATTAGGATGCCACACCAGAGACCAGAGTGTTTGCGACACACACGAACACACACACGATTATTTACGAATGAATGACGAGTGACAATATTATCCATTCGAAGCAGACGAAACCCGCGCTCCGGATACCTCTCCGAGATGATGGCCGACGACCAATTCGACGGCTAAGGCAGCGGAGCGCCAGTCAAGTAGCATTCTGCGCTGCTGTGAGTCCTGGGTTTCCTTGGCGCGAAATTCAAATTTATTGAATGTGAACAATGGACTTCCGATCGCTCTTTCGAGAGAAGCTTGGGAAAACATCTCGCTCTCCACCAAGAGGAGTCGGCTATACAATGGGCTTCCGCTCGCTGTCTTTCCACAGAATCTTGAAAAACCACCATCTTGCTCTGCAGCAAGAGCAGGCGGCTCTCATGTTCTCCCCGGGGAAGATGCAAACCTCTATACTCTCGCGGACCCCGCGAAGATGATCGTACTTCCATCCACAGAGCATAGAGCCTTACGAGAATCAAGTCCGAAAATTCTCGGACTTCCATCCGCGGAGTATGTAGCCACGAGAATCTCGTCCAAGAATCGTTGGACCTCCATCCACAGAGCATAGAGCCTTTCGACGGGGAGTTTTCAGTGATGGGGAGCTGTTGAATCTGGAATGCCCGATCGCGGTTTCTGGGGGAATTCGGCTCGAAACTACCTCGGAGGCTTTGATCACACAGTGAGACTCAGCTCGGGGATCCAGTCGCAGAGTCCGTCGTTCATTACTGTCTGGGCGTTGCTCGAGTACAGATCTGGTGAAGAGAGTGAGAGCTATCCACCGACAAGATGCTCGATTACCCAAGGTTATTTAGACCCCGCTCTTCGGCTAGGGGCTAAGAGCCTCATCATCTAATAGTTGAAGTCCCTTCTTCTAACAGGAGCGTTCTTGAGATTTTCGAGGCGAGGTCGTCCCAGCTCAAACCTTAATGATGATGACTACAGCTCGGAAGTTCAGGCACTGAAAAATGCCGAGGATGGCAGGCGAAAAGGCCCTGAAATACCTTAGAAGAGGCACCAAAACTAGGCAATACAGGCGTGATAGGCAGGGCAAACGCCGCATCAAATCGCCCGTCAGTGCCGTTTGATGAGAAGTTTACGTGGTCTCCCGGAGTCCCATCGGTTACTTATCGAGGCCGGCCTGATAGGTGGTATTTTACATCATCGAAAAAAAAAGACGTCTGGGGTCAAGGCGGAGCATCGGATTCTATCGGAAGCAAGATGTGTTCCTGCAGCTTGGGTTCGCCGATCCTATTCATCGCCGAATCCGCCCCAAATCCCACGAATTCAGCGGAAAAGCCTCGGTGGGTATTTTAGATGGAAAAGCGTCGAAAAAAGCGGCCATAGGTATTTACGGCAAAATTTCCGAGCTTCCGAGCTCCAATGATGACTCTCATTGAAGATGAGCTTCTCTGATACTTCAGTCTCTCTAATTACGTGCCGCAGAATCCTACGCAGTCTGGATAGGATCCGGATCTCTAGTTTTTAATGAAAGCCAGAATCTCCACGTACTTAATTAAACCATTCCTCCATTCCATCAAACGCTGCCCTTGCGACTGAGAGTATTCTTACCGGCTAAGTTTTTTCGCAGCTGAGAGCCTTCAGAGTTTGAAGAAACTGAAGACACATTCCACCGACGGAGCTCAGCTGAAAAATTCTCCCAGAGCAAGTCGTGGAGCTGAGAATCAGGATGAGCAATATCAGGAGCCTCAGCTCTTACTTTCTGCGAAACCTGCCGTAATCGGAAGTACTGGAACTCGCGAGTAACAATATCGAATACTCCACAGAAGAGGCGCTAGGGTATCGTCGCTCCGAGCTGACTCTTCGCGATAGGAATGATCAGGAATCCTGGCGCAAAATCTGATTGTGTGTATGTATATCTATCCACTTCCTTGGTCGTCCCTCTCCCCTCACTCGCGAAGAAGTCAGGATCTCCGCGAAGCTGGCGACGGTGTTCAGTCTTTGGACGTTCGAGCAATCGTCTTGATTGTCGAAGAATGGATTGGCTGAGGGAACAAGTGAAATATGATTTGATCTATTCGACCTACCAGAATGCTCCAGAGCTCACCGTTTGCACGGGAGCTCACACCGAGAGCGCCACCACCTGGATCGGGAAAGACCGTCGTCGATCAGTTCCTCGGAAGAAGCAGGTTCTTCGATGCGAACATGGAGCCTGCTCACATTTTCTCCGACAGACTTCATACTTCTACGAAGGAATTTAACCCACATCACGATTCGTCCATGATCAGTCCCGTCGACAGCGATGGATGTCGTAGACGGGAAGATCCCGATTGCCGACAGCCGTCAAGGTATAGCAGATTCAATGTCAAGAGGCGTTTTCTTGAGTTCCGTCGACATCAATCTGATCGCCCTTACGTCGAACCCATCCGAATGCGACACTTCCTAAAGCTCGGAGATGGCGTCATTCCTTATAGCGGCTCAATCCAAGAATCTATCTGAACAAGTCGTCTCTAAGAGGCTACGCCACGTAGCTGGCAAGCGCTCTAACAAAGCTCCTCAACCACCTCGCGAGATCGACAAAAATTCTCAGGCCTAAACGATTTCATTTCGGACGAAAAGAGATGAACGCTCTCTGAATCCGGGAGATGGAACGAATCGTGATCAGACCTCTCTCTATCCTCGAATACGCGCCCAACATCAGGCTTCAAGAAGAAACAATCATTGCCCAGCTCGATCCCGGAACCAGAGCTGTTCGCCGCGCCCCGGATTCGTTGGCAACCGCCGACGCCGAGACTCCAATACAGCGTGCGTCGCAGCGTGAATCATGAGAGAAAGCCCCGGAAAAATTCTGAGAGACTTTCAGTGCACTAAGCGCACTCGAAAATGCAGGACAAGCGGATGCGGATCAGACGAAAGAATCCATATCAGGGAGCTCGATCTAGGATCCCGCGGTGACCTTAAGACCGAGCTGATCCTCCAAGCTTGAGCTTGTCAGATCCGATAGTCTCCCGTTCCCGTCAGATATGGCGAAGCGGCATAAGACGTTCCGAGCATTTCCGACCTGAGCCGTAAGGCGTCGTGAGTGCGCCGAGTCTGAGATTACAGAACCATTCAGTGGACAAGTGCTGGAATCATTTGAGTGCTCCGAATCAGAACGGGGTGAACTCCTTCAAAACGTCCTACTCAGTCAGAGGAATCCTCGGAGCACACAGATAAACTCGAAATCGGCTCGTTCATACATATGCTTCCTACGTCGAGTGAATGAACTCTATTCGACCAGTTCTATGCTCAAGCAGGACTCGAGGCCTGGTTATTTTTGTTCAATCGCATCACAAGGCCTCTGTTTATTCTATGCCTATTTCGGCCTTCACACAAAGTCTTCGGTGTATATACAGTTTTTTGAAATCTCAAGAAATTCCACTCGTTCTTTTCAGCGTTTTCTTGTCATCCAGGTCGTCTCTGTATTATCCCGAGGTCTGTCCATTTCACAGGGAAAATATAATAATTGGGAGACTGGTCTTCGTTTTCTTCGGCGACTTGCTTCGATCATGACGTCGTACGAAGTTATTGGACCGCCTCCGCCACTTGAACGTCCTTGATGACGGTCTTAACGACGACGGATGTCGGCGCAACCACCATAAGTGCGGGAACGGCGACCGCGAGAGGGGGTTAGACTGGCGGGGGTGGTGCTGCCGCGACGGGCAGAAGAGGTGGGGGTGGTGCCACTGCTGAGAGGAGCACGACCGAAGGTGGTACGCAAGGCGCAGGCGCTGGCTTGTTGACGAGTTCATTCTGGTTCTGGATGATTAATACTGGATCAAGTTGCGGAGGGGGAGGGGTCGTTGCCATCATTGAGGTTGCTGGAGCGAAGGCCACGAAGCTAACGGAGCTCAAAACCTTGACGAAGTGCATTTTCCGTCGGAGGTATGTCCGTTCGGTGCTGACGGGACCAAGTACAGATTCCCAGAACGACCTCTTGAAGTCGATGTCTATCTCTCCGTCGGCATCCGTTCGCCAGAATACATCCTCTCGTATCCCAATCATTCCACTCTCCCGGGTCTCTTCCTCCCTGGAGCTCGTCCAGTTCGATTTTACGTAATAGGTTCGGTCCGGGCCCGGACCTTCGGTATCAACACGCCACTTCGTCGTGGACGCATTCGGCTCCCTGCCGACGGGCATCTTACAGCCAATCAGGATTTTCGAAAAGCGCTCCACGGAGGCTCCGGTGTTATTAGCCGTGTCTGTCACGGCTGGGGATCGTAAGATCGAGTACATGACACTGTCGAAAGAGTTGATCGGTTCATGGGGCGTCGTCCGAAATGGGAAGGTGTAGACGGCTTTGAGCCAGATCGGACCGTACTATTCAAGACCGCTTTAAGCTTCGAATCACCGACTCCATCGCCATAAGGGTCCCTGCTACCGGACTCCGAGCAGAAGCGACCCCTCGCGCGCAGAAAAGTCGCTTCCTCCGTCCCGAAGCCGAATGTCCGCTTCGAAGGTTTTGTGGCGGACTTGTGGATCTCAGATGAGAGGTTGTCCGCGATAAATTTTTGTCGGACGTATCGCTTTATTATATGCTCCCGAGTGTCGGTGAGCTGAGCCGATACGTCCGATATGAGGCAGAAGATCGAAGCGTCGCAAAGCCGAATGTTTCTCACAGCGATGAGCAGTAGCGGCATTTTGAACATGCCCAGGGGGAGCCGGGAGCCTGACTCATTACTTCTCGGATGACTCGGGGAAGCCCATTCAGCGTCGCTATCGCTCCCTCATGTTGCAATTCCGACTCGGGGATTGATCCCCGAGGATGGCGGCGTCAACATAACGTATGGCTGCATGCGTCGCACGCGCTAACCACTCGACTCCCACACGGGACACGGGTTGAAGGGACTGACCGGCGCGGCGATGGTCGACCTGATCAACCGGTTCGTCTTCATCGAGTTTACGTTTCGTACTGAAGCGCTCAGAGATCTCCTTCTGAGTTTTTTGTCGGAAGCTTTCCTCAGCGATCTGCACCTTCAAGTGAGCGCCCTGCCATGTTTAATTATCTTGCTCACGAATACCCTGAAATCAACATCTATTTGATTCCATATCGGGAGAGCATCGCGACGGATCCCCAAGACAACGTATATTCGAATGAGCATATAAAGCGAAAACGAGAATTTTTCTGCACTCACATTGGTCGAGTTTCTCCTCATTGGTATCGAGATCCACGTGGGCGGAGAACTTTTTGTTTCCGTGATTCTCTTTTTCGACGCTCGCCACGCGACCGAACTCTGCGTCATTGGTCTTGATGTCACCATCCAATGCGCTTCCTGGGAGACCTCCAATGTACAGACGACGGTGGAGGCCTGTCTCGGAGGTTCCTACTCGGGCTCTGTTTCACATCGACAATATTAGGTTTCGAAGTCAACGGTGAAGGTGCGGATTCCGACCTGGAACCCTTCCATGCTGGCAGCTCAAGATAGCTCCGCGGTTTCTCATCACTGTCATCATTACTGAGCTCTATCCTCTCGGTCCCGTGAGCTTTCGTCGTGACATTTCCAGCGGATTGAAGTTCGGTGGCGCCGGTTCTCTTCTTCTCCTGTATATCATTCTGGACCGCTTGCAGATGACCCTCTTCAGCGGGCTGTGCCTCGAGCACGCCCCTCCCAGTCGAGATTATTGCATGCGCGCACACCTAAAAAAACATGTCTCTTCCACCGGCTCTCGAGATAACTCTTCATGCCTCGTCTCGATAATCACTCCGCATCCGAGTTCGGGAATTGCTGGAGATCCTCAAATACTCTTGAACATGAACTCACAATTATCGATGCTGCGCTTATCTGCCTGTTCGATGTTGATGTCAGCGAGGTATAGTCGATTTCCGTAGTTCTCTTCGCACCGTATCTCGACGTCATTTACTGTACCGAATTCACAGAACTTCTTCTTCATATCTCCCTTTGACACAGCATCTGATAAACCGCTCATGTGGAGCCTGCGTTGCTCCATAGCGCCCGGGGATAACTGACTCCTACTTCATCCGAAGATTTCCTCGGGATCGCATATAGTGCGATACTCGAACAGCGCCGCGCACGTGTCGGCAGTGTTTACAAACATAGCGGGGAAGCTTCAGAGCGGCGGCGGGGAAGTAAGAGATCATCGCGGCGCGCTTTCCTCTTCTCGCGTCAAGAGGAGGAACAGGAATTGGTTTCTCGGTTTCGGGCTGCCTGGTGCTAGATTCGTTCGGTGCGCAATTAGATTCCCCGGCGAGTTCAGGTTATGATCACCTGGAGTCGAAGCGATTCTGATCTTGATGGTACTATCCGCTTTGGAATTGGGAAGGGGAAATGCGTGAATAGTGTCAGATGAGTAGCTAGGTCCGGAGCACCATATCGAACCGGCAATGGTCTACAGCTGAGGGTTTGGCGCTCTCTCGTCCACGTTGAGAAGTCGGGGGATTCTTGCACAAAATTTGGGAAAGTTCTTCGGTGGAGCCTTGACAACGAACCACTCTCCGCTACCATATTATTTTTCCTCTGACGCGAGGGCCCAGCCTGGAGAACTCGGATCATGAGAATCGGAGCGTCAGGTTTTCCTTGCTGCGATCTCATCCACAGACTGGACCCTGATTCCTCTTTTTGATGATATTGGAGTGAGGCCGCGAGAGGCTCATCCTCGTGAAGCGCTACGGAGTCCTCGAAGTCGATCAACATTCCGCATTAGGACGTAAGATTTTTGAATCTCGGCGGGCTCGATCGAAGCAGGCTCCTATGGGGCGCCTTTGCTGAAAGTGCGTTCGACGTGAAAAAGGATGAAGTAGATGTTGTTATTTTGTGTGTGGAGTAGAGTGTACCGAGTCAGCCCAAAGTTGCCGAGCGTGTCTGACGTACCGAGAAAATATGGGCTGTGTGTCGGCTCGCTATCGAGCTGTCAACTTCCGAAACGCCTGTCCCTCGCTGGGGTATCCCCTAATTGAATGAGATTGAAGTCCCCGGGTCATGACATGCTCATTCTTCGAATTCGGAAGCCGCTACTCTACTAATAATAAAATTGCAAGAGAACTGCTCGGGTCGAGCCGACATTGGATTCGGGCCGTCGACCCGAGTATATCTTTGTTTTCCAACCTCGTTGACAGCGATTTATTCGCGAGTTCTCGCATATGAGGCCCCGAGTCGAAGACTCGGAAGGCTTGGTCATACACACTCCGAGCTCCGAAAGCGACAGAGTAGGAATTTTACGCACCTCTCGGCAAATTCAGACTTTGTTTGCAAGAGACATTGCGTCGAGCCAAAGAAGCTTTCCTATTAGGAATTTTCCTAGGAGGCCCGGGCCGTGTCCCGGGACCAGCGCCGAATTATCCACGGAATTCTCCGGGCTTTTGCTTGCCGTAATTCATCGGCGTCTATTCCGAATTCCAGGTTTCGCGCCTTAATTCAAATCGGATCGTTGCGCATCCCGCCAATTGATGCATCCGCTAGATGCAAGTCGAATAGATTTTCTCTGAATATGATTCTATTCACACCGGTGAACTCATAAGTATCTTTCTCGCGAGTTCGATATCTCTTCTCGTATCAATCCGAGGGCGAATAGGTTCGAATTCCGCTAAAAAATGAATGATAAGCAGACAGCCGCGTCTCTGAGCGTTGGCGCCACCGGAAACTAGATCCTTGGCCTCAGGTACTTTTCTCTGGAAATAGGTCGGGATTCCAGCACTTTTGCATTCGGAAGGGAGGATCGCTGTTCGGTAATAACTCCGAGTCGGCGATACACTCCGATAAGGCCCAGATTGAGGTTTCCGGCGCGAAATAGCGTCTGCTCGGATCGAGCATCGTTGGTGCTGCTGCTACTGTTGGCGGCTACCGGATGGCAGCAGCAGGCTGACTGGCTGGCTGCTTGTGTTGTCTGTGTGGTGGTGGTGTGTGCTGTGTGAGTCTCGGAGCCTCAGCTAGCAGCAAGCAAGCAAACAGCAGCCTTGTCACGGCGGTGGCAGTAGCACCGCTCGCTATTTCGTCTCGGTGGAGGCTTCTTCGCTGTTTGCAAGGCCCGTAGTAGTGTTGACGACTGTTGTGAACAATCTAGTTCTGTCACTGAGTGTCCAACGAACGTGTACGTTCGTGGTGAGCGGAACGACTTCCAGGACTCTCTTGTTTGGTCGGTGGTGCTGTTTGCGGGGCGGGTGGCAGCAGCAGTGGTAGCAGCACAATGTGTGTAATAAAGCGGCTAGCAGCCAGAGCCCTAAGGTGAACTTTGGATTGAAAAGTGGCTCGCTGCGGCCAGCCAACAGTGCAGCGGCAGAGCTGACGAACACGGTGTTGCCTAGTTGTGTGACGACGACATGTCCACCACCTCGGCGGTCCCACCACCTCCTCCAACAGCCGCCTCCGAGTTGGCGACGGCCGCGGCACGAGGCCCGTCGTCGTCGTCAGATGAGAACTCGGCGGGCTCTGGAACTGCACAAACAACACCGGTTCAGTCTCCGCATCATCATCCGCAGCAGCAACAACAACAACAACACATTCAACAACAGCCCCCTCCAAGCCCACTGCAGCAGCAGCAACAACAACTACCGATCCCTCAGCATCAACAACCACAACAAACAATGCACCACATTCCTCAGACAAATGAAAAGGATGACAAACAGTCGCCTCCGTGTTCCAAAGACGATCCACGATCAGTAGGTTACCCGCAAGAAATGGCTGGCGGAGGGCCTCCCCCAAATTACTACGTCGACCCCAAACGTTATCCTCGGGGTCCGCCGCCCGGTCCCCCGAACGGTCGCTTCATGGGACCTACCCCAACGCTCAATCAGCTTCTTCAGAGTCCTCAGAGAGGACCTCCTGGATATCAAGTTGGTCAAGAGTATCCGCCGGCTGGCCATCCGGCATGGCACGCCAGGCCTCATTATCCTCATCAAGTTCAAGCAACGACGTTCCGGCCTCCGGTAAGTTTTCCATCACGTGTCCCACACGGTGTGCTTTACTAAATCGGGTGAACGCTCATGACACTCGGGTGTTGGAAATCCGGACGACGTATGACAACGTCGTCCTCCGTGAAAAGATGCTCGATCAGCGAATTCGCTCCCGAAAGGTCAATGTATTGGAAGTTGGCCTTTCCGCATGGGACGACACCGGTGCGTTTCGGGACGCGATTTCACGGGAACTCGCACGTAGAGCTCCTCGACGGAATATTCTGTGTATCGCCGCGTGTTGGAGGTGTTTTGAACATTATGGTTAGTTACGGTGGCGCGGGTCGAGGCTCCGGCCTGAAGACGATGCCGGAAACCGGTCACGACGCAGCCCGCTTGGCCTCCGTTAGCTCCGGCTCCGTCTGTCATCCGAACGGGCTCTACAAGACTCTCAATCGTACTCCTGATTTCTAAATTACTGGATATTCGGTTTTTCTACCCAAGCGGCCGGCTGATTCGCGTCAGTGTCAACAGTGTCGAAGGACCCACCGATCGGAGCTCGTCGAGCCACGGATGTGCCGACTCCACGTGAATTATCCTGCTTCTGACCCGGATATTTTTAACCAGGATTTTGATGCAATGTCTCTCTGATTCCCGTTTTAAAACGATTGAATCACGCTCGGAAGGGAGAATTCATAATAATAATCTATCTGCCGCCGCCGCCTATGGATCAGTCTCTCAAATGTACTTCTCGGGAATGTGGAAGAATCTGATCCGGTGCGGTTCATCTCTTGATGAACTTATCCCGACGGACGGCTCCTCGTTTTCGAGTCGGGGTTATAGTTCTCTATCGGTCCTCTATCTACTAGTCGGTGGAAGTACCATACGCTCTTGAGTACGCTGGAAACCGTTCGGACTCCGGGGCTTTATTAGAGCGAGCTCTGAATCGCCTCATCGAATCCAAGGCAGATAGACACCTGACCACGTTGTGCTCATCTGCTGACAATTCCACCAGAGCATCGGATACTTTCCGCTTCTGGTTAGATGAATAATGAGAAGCCATTGCTCCCTTCGAGGAATTGAGTGGGGTGAAAGACTCAGATCCTGAAACTGTGAGAGAGATCTTCAGGCGAATCGACGTGCTGTCTAAATCCGGGACTCACAGCGCTGATCGTGTGAATGAGACTTATCCGAGCGGTTACTGTCAGAATCTATTCCGGCGGAAAGATGCCCAGTTATCCGAGTCCAACGGTCACAGAGAGTCGACTATCGGTATCGAGGGGAAGTCGTCTCGATCGCGATATCCCCTCAATCAGTTTTTTCGGAATCGTTCGGGCTCCTCTCGCGGCACCGTCGTGCATGATGTGTGCCTGATCGAATTCGATTAATTTACCTTACAAAATACAAGGTGATTGATCCCTGGGGGAAACTGACGGGAAATTCGATCTAGGAGAGCTCTGCATCCCTGAGTGGGTCGTTGTTTCCCGGAAAACCCGAATTCCGACACCTCCTCAGAGGGACTCACGGATGCAATGAGAATGTTCGTGGAACCACGGACGCACATGGATCCTACGACCGGAGTTTTTTGGGAATACACCACGGGCTATGCCTTCCTGTCTGTCGGCGCACTGGTCAGCGGTCTGATACAGTTGTCCGCAACGCGCATCCAGCTAAAAGGGTCTCGCGATTGATTTTATTGAACGAAAAGTAATCGCAGTTAAGTAAAGCGTTTCGTTGCACTGACCATGCTGTGTTGTCGGTCTCACTCACATTATACGCCAGTCCGCTGAAGCCACATTGCGGTATTGAACACTGAAATCACGTTGAATTACTCGAGGAAGATCATTCTCGACGCTGGCCATAACCGACGTCCCCCCCCCCCGCTCCTCCTTCCCCCCGAGGAGGATGCCGTGGTGGGATTCACTAAATCACGTGGGAGGATCTTCAAGGCAAACGCCTAGAGCTGCCGTGAATGTCACGGGAAGGAAAATCCATGCGACGTCCTCGACGGCGTACATGCTTGATGAGCTCTGCTCTTCTAGAGTTTGAATCTGAGCCGATAAGTGTTGGATAGGTATCGGCGACGCGAGCTCTGACGCCCTCCGCTTGCCGAGACGGATCTTGCAAAGCTTGCTGAGCTTTCTAGGCTTCCCGCATGTTTTCAGTCTCCGAATCCTCTCCCCATCTCCAGCCTGTGATTCTTTTCATCTCTGCTTAATCTATCGCTTCTAACCGCGCGCTCGCTCACCCATCCCCAGGTCCAGGGCCAGCCGATGGAGGCTCCCCCCAGTCCCAAAAGACCCCCCTCCAATGGGCCCCCGGTCCCACCTCAAGGTCCTTCACCAGGGTCCCCCTACTCTCGTGCATATCCCCCTGTCGGTCCTAGGCCGCCCTACCATCTACCGCCACAGTCGCCGGTCGGACCTTCGAGAGAGGGTCCTTCCGCTAGTGTACCTGGCAGCCGGCAAACACCCCCAACTAATCAAGTCCCGTATCCTCCGGCTTCTCAGGTAAGTTATAGCTGTGGATGTTTCCTTTCTACGTCCTTCGGACCTCCATGCTTGCTGACACAAACTCGATCGGTCACCCAGAAGGCCAAGAGATTGAGCTCAGTGAGATCCTCTTGGAACTTGTGACCCTCCAGTTGGAGCGGTTGAACTCACCGGGCCATGACAGAAACGAGAGCACGCTCGAAGCGGCCGTCGGATTTCTGCAATCGTTGCACCCGCTGCTTGAATGAACTGTGCCGTAAAATTCGGTGCTGCATTCAGGGAGATAAATCTCTCGGATTCGATTGAAAGGGTTCCGTGTGTGATCGAAACGGAAGTGTCTTCAAAAACAAAAAGATAAACCTCATTCCAGATTAGGGGTGTCAATCTTTCACGTAATCGCGTAACTAGGAAGTCCTCCTTGTTTTCTGTGTGGATCCAGCGGATTCCGTTCTTTATCTTACCACGGCAGCGTTGCTCTCTCAATAATACGACCAATTTACTGGGATCTCGCGTTGTTTCCTCTCTGTCTAATTCCCTCTTCGTACGCAAACACGTGGAGCGCTTTGTTTCTCTGTGATCGTGCGCGTCTCGCCGTGTGGTCAGGCAAAGAAAGACGCTACCTGTATGTAGGTTCGTCCGTGAAGCAGATTTGTGGAGAATGACAGCAGCATATGTTCGGAAGTACGTTCGTACCTCGACATGATACGCACCATATGGCTCCCGTCATTCCGAGGGAACGTCGACCGTAGACGAGCGAGGTGCGAGGAAATCTCGGCCGTCGCTCCGGCCTTCCAATCCCAGAACCTGTGAGAGCGCGACGCGGCGGCGTGCTTGTCAAGTGTCCCCTCTAAAGTGCATCCATCCTTGGGTTCGGAACGTTCTGGAGCGAGCTGCGCTAAGAACGTCATTGTTGACCCTATGATAGTCTCTCTCGGTGGGACGAATCTAGAACAACGAATATCTACGAGGGAATTCTGTAAACACTTTAAAGCGAACCCAGAAGGAGAATCGCTCAAGTTTCGGGTCCGAGCCATGCAAGCAGATCAGTTTGCACTGACCTATGAGGCGAATCCGAGTTGAGGGTCAGTCTTCAACGAAAGACACAGAGCCCATCCTCGGCGTACCCGATTAACGTATCACGGGCTCCGTTACGGCCACGACGACCATCTACGTTCCGGGTGTCGTTCACCTTGAGCACACCTGCAAGAATCGGAGATCGCTTCCCTCCTGGCTGGCAGGCGCTTCGCAAGTTGGTCGCTGTGTTAACCGATTCCTGGGTCGGCGACCTGTGCAACGCAATCCTCCCACCCGTGGAGACACTCTTCTGAGTTCTCGTCTCGTTTCCCCGAACAGAGCGACGGGTCTCGGCTCACGCGCCAAGCGTTCACGCTCTCCTACGTATCCCTCCATTCCCAAAGCCTCCCCCCCTCCTCTCGATCAATGACCTTCTCCTCGGTTGTTCTCCTTGGGCTGATATGGGCTTCCCGCTGTATGCTGCCTACTTGCTTGCCTTACTGGATGGCGGGCTTGGGTGGCTGGCTGGTTGGCCGACTGTCGGGCGGGTTCCGACGGCCAGCCGGCCGACCGAGAGGCCGGCCTTCATGACGATGATGGCGAGAGAGCCCAATTAAGGATTGATGACGTCGAGGGCTTCCCCAAAGGCTCTTCTATTCATAAGCTGGCTGAGCTGTTCACCTCCTCGTTTCTTTCTTGCTTCCGTACACTCTTCGTTCGCTCTCGGGTCCTCAGCAGGTCTTGCAGCAAACGACCGCGGAACGTGCTCAGCAAGCAGCCGATCATAGCTCCTAATCTAAACTACTACGGAGCGAGGAGTTCTAACCCAGTCGGTGGTCTTCGACTACGGTCTTGAGGTCGAACCGGATTCGCGGATTGGTTGTCCTCCGATTGATATCCATGTCGGTTCGACCGATTATGACCCGAGGGAATGAGATACTTCGAGTTTTTGCGCGAGATTGAAATACTCATACTACTCCTGAAGGTTGTTGGAGCGGGGGAGCCTTCTTTGCCGTAGTCGGCCACGGCTAGAGGCGGAATGAAAGAGAGCGGACGCCGTTCGGAGACGAACAAGAAGGTGGGGGAAGTCGTCGAGTGCGGGAGGATAGACTGCGCAAAGAGAACGCTAGACAGAACAGATTTAATGGGACGCTGGCTGTTCGGTCGGGAAAAGGCCTGCAGAGAGGGCAGATTATGCAATAGCTTCCTTCTCTCAATGCGAGTCCCCCCCCCCGAGCAAACCCTGCCCATCTTGCCCACCCCGCTCCGGACCCAGACTGTTTTTCCCCCCACACGGTCCCTCTCCGTCTTTCCTGTCGATTCCCTGCTTTCTTCCCAAGCTGGGTCCTGAGAGGTCAAGGTCGCATCGGCGCAGAAGAAGCGGCTGAAAAATGGAGAAGCCGTAGACTCTGGTTTCCCGCGCGCCGTCGCCCGACCTGACGCGATCAGATCGGGATGGTGATGATCATCCTCGTGATGAAAATGATTCATGACTTTTGTCTCCAATAAATAGTCGTGCGAACGACTCTG